GATGTCTTATAAATGGCATCACACAGTAATGTAATCTTTTGAGGCTGACTTCTTTCCTTTACCGTAAGGTCTTTGAAATTCATTCATGTTGTTGTGTGTATCATAGTTACTGAGTATTAGTCCATCATACAGATGTACACTTTATATATTCGCCTTTTGAAGAACATTTGGGTTCTTTCTGGGTTTTGGTGGTTCTTATTAAAGCTGTAGTAAACATTTGTGTACAGGTTTTTGGGTAAATGTAGGTTTTCATTCCTCTAGGGTAAATACCTAGGACTGGAATTGCTGAGTCATATGGTGAGTGTAGATTTTTTTTTGGGGGGGTGCGGTAAGGAACTGCCAAACTGTTATGCAGAGTGATTGTGCCATTTTGCATTCCCATCAGCAGAATATGAGGATTCCATTTGCTCCACATCCTCATCAGCATTTGGTATTCTCAATTCAAAAGGATTTTTTTAGCCATTCTAATAGGTACTGAAACTCATTGTAGTTTTAATTTATGTTTTCCTAATGACTTAAGATGTTGAAAATCTTCTCTTGTGATTACTTGTCATCTGTGTGTCTTCTGTGAAGTTCCTTTGAAAATTTTTGGCGTATTCTTTTTTTTCTTTTTAATTGGATGGTTTTCTTATAATTACATTTTGGGAGTTATTTATGTATTCTAGATACAGTTCCTGTGTTGGATTTGTGACTTGCATATATTTTCTCCCCAGTAGGTAGCTTGTCTAATCATTTTCTTAACATTGTTTTTCAAAGCAAATGTTTTAAATTCTGACGAAGCCCAATTTATTGATCAAAAAAGTTTTTTTAAATGGCTCATGGCCTTGGAGTTACAGGTAAGAACTCAGCCTAGCTTTGGGTCCCAAGGACTTCCCCCTATCTATTCTTCTAAAAGTTATAGAATTTTCTATTTTACATTTAGATCTATGATCTAATTTGAGTTAACTCTTATTTAAGGTATGATAGGTTGAGGCTCATTTTTTTTGTAAGTAGATGTCTAATCATCAGATCAGGTTTATTATTTTGTAGATAGATGTCCAGTTGTTCCCACTGGCGTTTGTTGAGAATGAAAAGACTATCCTTTCTCTGTTGAATTGTATTTGCACTGTGAAAATCAATAAAAGGAAAACCTCCTTTGCAGCGGAGTTGGAGGCCAGCAGAGGGAGCTTTCAGCCCTGTCACTTGGCAGTCTCAGAGCCCGCAGGAGAGGGTCCTTGCTCCTAGATACTACTTTACTGCCCTAACAGGAGGAAGGAAGGTTTCTTATTCCACCCGGCAACAGCCCAGCCAACGAGAGACTGTCATCCAGTGAGAAGCCGCCATACTTCCAGCTCCCAGTTTACCCCAGTGGATTTTTCAGCCCTTCCGGGTGTCCCCCTTTCCTGGGTAAAACAGCATTTCTTGCCTTTGTTCTCTGGACTGGCCTATGGTTTTGCCACAGCTTGCTTGTCCTGGATTGCGGTCCTCTGCTATTCCTGAATAAACCCATCTTTTGCTGGTAGAAAAACTGGCCGTTTTATTTTTAAGGTTAACAGCAGCTTTGTCAAAAATCAGTTAGCTGTAATTGTCTGCTTGATTGGATTCTTTTTCAAAGTTGTTTTCACCCATCTAGTTCTTTTACTGTTCCATATCAATTTTATAATCAGCTTGTTTCTACCTATCAGAAATCCTGTGGGCATTTTGATTGGGATTATGTTAAATCTATAGATCAGTTTGGAGAGAATTGACATCTTTATTATATTGTCTTCCAATCCATGAATTTGGTAAATCTCTTCACTTATTTAGGTCCTTGATTTCTTCAGCATTTTGTGGTTTTAAGCATATATAATGTTTTATTAGATTTATATTTATAGATTTACATTTTTTGGCAGTATTCTAAAATGGTATTTCAAAAAGTTTCAGTTTCCAGTTGTTGCTAGTTTATTGAAATATGCTTGATATTTGCATATTGACTTTGCTAAATTCGCGAATTCTAGGATCTTTTTTGTAGATTTCTTGAGATTTTCTACATAGATAATCATATTGTCTTCAGATAAAGATGGGTTTTATTTCTTCCTTTCCAAACTGGATACCTTTTACATTGTCTAGGACTTCAAATGCAATGTTGAATAGGAATTGTGAGAGTGGGTATCCTTTCCTTGTTCCCAGTGTTGGGGAAGTAGCATTGCTTTTCATCTTTAATTAAATACGTTGTTTGTAAATGTATAGGTTTTTTGTAGATACCCTTTAGCAGATTAAGGAAGTTTCCTTTAATTCCTAGTTTGCTGAGTATTTATCTTGAGTGGCTGTTGGGTTTTGTCAGATGCTTTTTCTGCACCTGTTGATATGATTATATATTTTTTTTCTTCTTAGTTTTTTAGTCTGGTAGATTACATGGATTGACTTTTGAATGTTGAATTAGCCTTACATTCTTGGGATAAATCCCACTTATGATGTATTAATCTGCTTTTTCAATTTGCTAAAATTTAGTTGATTTTCCATCTATATTCATGGGTGACTTAGTCTGTAGTTTTCTTGTAATGTTTTTGTCTGGTTTTGGTATTGGGGTAATGTTGCCCTCATAAAATGAAGTGGGAAAGTTCCCTTACCTTCTGTTTTCTGGAAGAGATTGTATAGAAATGGTGTTATTTATTCTTTAAATATTTGGTAGAGATTGCTACTGAAATCGCCTTGTTTTGCAATTGTCTTTTCTGGAAGGGTTTTAATTACAAATTCAATTTTTAAAATAGATACAAGACTATTCTGGCTATCTATTGCTTCTTTGGTGAATTTTGATAATTTGTGCTTTTCACAAAATTGTGTTATTTCATCTAAGTTGTCCAATTTATGTGCATAGAATTGTATGTAGTATTCTCTTACTATCCCTCTAATTGCTGTGGGATCTGAAGTGATGACTTTTGTTCTTTGATATTGGTAACTTATGTCTTCTCTCTTTTTTTCTTTGTCAGTCTTGCCAGAGGTTTGTCATTTTCATCAATCATTTGAAAGAACCATCTTTTTTTTTTTTTAAAGATTTTTATTTATTTATTTGACAGAGAGAGATACAGCGAGAGAGGAAACACAAGCAGGGGGAGTGGGAGAGGGAGAAGCAGGCTTCCTGCTGAGCAGGGAGCCTGATGTGGCTCAATCCCAGGACGCTGGGATCTTGACCTGAGCCAAAGGCAGACACTTAACGACTGAGCCACCCAGGCGCCCCAAGAGCCATCTTTTAAGTAGGCTTTTTTTCTGTTATTTTTCTGCTTTCCATATTATTGTTTTCTGCTCTTATGTTTAGTATATCTGTCATTTTGCTTGCTTTGGGTTTATTTTGCTCTTATTATAGCTTCTTAAGGTAGAAGTTAGATTGTTGATTTGAAACCTTTCTTGTTTTCTAATGCATTTAATAGTATAAATTTTCCCCAGTCACCACTTTAACAGCATCCTACAAATTTTGATATATTTGCATTTTCATTAAATTCAAAATATCTTCTGATTTCCCTTGAGACTTCCTTTCTGACCCATGGATTGTTTAGAAATGTGTTATTTAATTTCTAAGTATTTGGGGATTTTCCAGTTTCTTTCTGTTATTGATTTCTAGTTTAAGTTTATTATGGTCAGAGAACATGGTTTGATTTCAGTTCTTTGAAATTTGTTAGGTTTGTTTTATGACCCATGATATCTATGGGCATATCCATGAACAAGCAAAATGAACCTATGGAAAAGTTGCAAAATAGCCCAACAACCAACCATATATACTACGTCTAGGTTCACTAATTAATATTTTGCTACATTTGCTTTCTTCTTTTTTTCATTAGAGAGTTAATTGCAGACATCACGACAGCATCCTTAAGTACATAGCATGTATCTCTTACTTAGGACATTCTCCTGCAAAATCATAATACTATTACCTAATACAAAGTTGTTGTTCAGATTCCCTCACTTAGCCTCATGGAGCTTTTTTTTTTTTTTTTAATTCAAGATTTAGTGTATGTTTTCATTGTACTTAGTAATCATGCCTCCATTACTTCGATTTATTAAAGAGTTCCCCAACCATTTTTGCGTTCAGATTGTTGTTAAGATTTTTGAAGAGTTGAGGCCTGTTATTTTGCAAATGTCCTTATATTTGGCTTTGTCTGGTGGACTCCTTAATCAGGTGCAGGCTAAAAGTTGTGGGCAGGAACATTTTAAATGAAATTGCTTGCTTTCAGTGATTCATTTCAGGAGGCGTGGCATGTCACTTTGTTCTACCACTGGTGATATTTAATATATTCCCTTGATTTAGGCAGTGTCTACTGGATTCCTAAATTGTAACAGTACCAGGGCGCCTGGGTGGCTCAGTCCGTTAAGCATCCGACTCTTGATTTCGGCTCAGGTCATGATCTCAGGGTTGTGAGATTGAGCCCCATGTCAGGCTCTGTGCTCAGCGGGGAGTTTCCTTGAGATTCTCTCTCCCTCTCCCCATGCACTGCATGCTCTATCTCTCTCTCAAATAAGTAAATTTTAAAATAAATAAATGTAACTAGCTTTTCCTTTTGTAATTAATAAGCCATCTATGGGATAATATCTTGAAGCTGGGTGAATATCATGTTCTCTGGTGATCTTTTATCTAATGCTTTTAGCCCTGGTGATTCTTACCTGAATCAGTTATTACTGTAGTGGTTGTATAATGGTGGTTTTCTGTTCCTTTTATTTTTCTACATTTATTAACTGGATTTCTTTTGTAAAGAAGAGATTTGCCTCTTACTTTCCTTCCGTTTTCTTTCTTTTCTTTCTTTCCTTACTTATTTACCAGTGTGGAGACATGAATTCTTTCCTCAGTCAGTATCATTCCAGTGCTCAGCTTGTCTTAAATTTGGCTAGTGAGAACCACTTAATCCTGGGTTGGTACACTTGCAGCAGAGGGAAGTTTTCTGTAGTATTCAACATTTCAGTCCATTTGTAGCCTTAGGAACTATGGGGATTAATGCAGGTACCATGCTTTAGACCTTGCTTTCGATAACCCTTCTGTGCTTATTTTCCAGCAAATCACTGAATTGAAGAAAGAAAACTTTAATCTAAAGCTCCGCATCTATTTCCTGGAGGAAAGAATGCAACAGGAATTTGATGGCCCCACCGAACACATCTATAAAACTGTGAGGTCCCACTTCTCACTGCCACCCCTGGTGTCTTTGCTCATAGTCCTTCCCAGCAGAAATTTAATTAATATTTGTTCTCAGAGTTAGCCTGAATAGACAGAGCTGCTTTCATTTAATTTGAATTGATTATGGACAGCATAAAGACAATAGGATGACCTTAATATTAAGCAAAGAGATACAAGATTCATTTTAAGGGAATCTTTTCTCTCGTTTTAAAATCTGAATTCTGATTTACTATCTTTATTTCCATTGCCTTTTCTAAATTATTTATGATTTGGGTAAAAGCAGTGAAGTGGTAGAATGTCTTTGGAATTGCAGACTCCAGGTAACTACTGTTACCAACTAACTGTAGGCAGGTCAACTCAGCTCTCTGGGCTTGCTTTCAGAGGGAAGTGATCATCCCTCTGTCACAGAGTTATTTGTGTGGATTAAAATGAGATGACAGATGAAGAGCCCCAGCACACAGTCAGTGCTTGACAATTGTTATCATTGTCTTACCGAGCTTCCCTTGGCAGCCCAGAGTCAGGACTGTCAGTTTTCTGTGCTGTGACTCTTCTGGATTCCTTGTGTACTTGCTTGTAAACTGTCAGAAAAACGGCTGTTCCTGTCTGAAGTCTCAACCTGGCGGCCTCTGCCTGAGAGTGGAAAACAGAACTTGGCCTTCTTGAAAAGACTTGAGTACAAACAATATCTTAGTGCCCAGTTTTTGGCTTTCTCCAGTAGATTAGCTGTTGGCCTGGGAATTATTCCATCTTTTCTCTTCTGAAGTTTGCACCAGTGGAAACTTTTGAAGGGGGAAAGGGACCTCTCCTTGAGTTCCAGCAGATGAACTTAAATGGGCTTGTCTTGAAGAGGGATTGTATTGTACTTCTGAGCCTTTTCAAGAATTGAGAAGCCCCCTTGTCCCTTAAGACAGTTTTTTTTCTGTAGTGTGGGGGTGGAAAGGCAATGAGAATATCCCGGTTTCTGGAAGGGAGTGAAAATGCAATCACAATTTGAAGGAAAACCAATAGTCTAAAACATTTTATAGATAAGTATGGTTACATACTTCTAGGGCGATAGGGAGCCAAAGTGTGTTAATTGCTTGCTCTGTGTCAGGCACTGTCCTGGGCATTTGTACATTCATCATCTTAATTTTAATTGTCAAGACAGCCCTATGCAGTGGAGATTCTCATCTTACAGAAGAGGACACTGAAGTTCAGGGAAGATCAGTAACTTGCTTGATGTCACATAGCTACTATGAGGGGTGGATTTTGAACGTAGACCTGCTGACCTCATTGTCCTATGCTGTTTAGCTTTTTCTTTTTACACAGTCTGATTAGATGACCTGATTTAATTGTACTTTTATTTCAAGTTTTTAGATAAGTGCATGGCTCAAAATTCAAAAAAACATCAAAGGAATACACTAAAAAAGACTTTCATCCACCGTTGTCTCCTAGTTCCCCAGATCTAACCGATATTGTTAATTATTTATGTAGAGGAATTTTATGTATACACAAGCAAGTGTGTGTGTGTGTGTGTGTGTGTGTATAAATCCCCTTTTACATAAACGCAGGCACATTCTGTTCTGCACCTTGCATTTTTCTTTAACAATATCTTGGATACCTTAACAGTGGTTTAAGAGCTTCTTTATTCTTTTTTATAATATTACTCCATTTTCAGCTTGTACGGTGTCTTGATTTTTGGTTTGGAAACTAATTATCACGTGTATAAGTTTATAACTTGAGGGATTGGGCTTGAGAAAAACAGCCTTGTGGACACGTGAGCCCTCCATCCTCTTGTATCCCTGGGTTAGGGTGCCAGTTAGTTCATCAGAAAGCAGTTTAGAATATCTGGTGTCAGTTCCTACACAGAAACTCTCTGCCCTTCCTAGAGTGGAAAAGGAACCCTCTTTCTGAAGGGTTTTCACAGAACCAGTTGAAGACCGATGCACTGGCATGCAGTGTCCTTTCTGCAAAGATCAGCTTTTTTTAGAAAAAGTTCGGCCTCACAGATGACTTGTTTAGTTCCTGTTGTTGACAGTGAAGAAAATTTTGCGCCCCGTCTGCTAGGCTCTTCTCATCTGTTAGCTCATTCGCTCCTCCTCGCATCCCCCGTGTCAGATGGGCTCGTATTGTTCATTTGACGCTTGGGTGGCCCAAAAGGAGAAACTCTACTTTCTTTCCTCCTGGACTTGTGCTTCCAAGGACGATTACAGGCTGGTGCTTCCAGTTTCATGTTTGATGCCAGCACGAAGCCAGGGCCTGTGTCTGCCTTTGTTTGCCACGGTTTCCCCAGTGCTGAGCCCCATGCTTGGCCTGTCACAGGTGATTGGTATATATCTGTGACGTGACAGAAGGAATAAATGAGCAGCCGCTCACTTACGACAGTTTCCTCCTGGTAAAGAGGGGAGGCAGAATTTGAAACCCTGTCCTCATGAACGGATTGGCTTTCATTCCAGATGACTTCTCATTCTGGGGTCCTTGTTCCCCCAGGGCCGCTTGGCAGAAAGGTGGGAGGCATGTCCCCTGAGATTGTAAATTTTACTGGAAATGGGATTTTTATTTAAAATAATATGCATGTATTATGGAGTAGAATGTAAAATTGGCATGAATTATTAAAACCAGATAGGAACAAGATTTCAGAGAAATCCTGGGTGTATAGCAACCGCGTGCAAACTACACACTCAGACCCCAGTCTCTCCTACTTGAGTTCATCTAATACTCTGTCTGGAATACACTTGTGGACTAGTTTGGGCAGCGCACCACTGCCCCACTGTCTCACATTGCAGTCTGTTTGCCAGAGATTCTGTCTTTGGGTTCTCACGTGAGTTAGAAGCCCAAGGCCACGTGTGACTCCTTTCATTCCCGTCCGTTAAGAGGAGGATGGTTGGTTGGAGAACACTGTGGTGTCCCTTACAGACCTGAGATCTTACACTGAAACCACTGAAACGAGACGGGCAGTGATGTGGCTTCCCACTAACCATCCACGTGTTGTGGTTTTTTTGTTTGTTTGTTTTTGAAGCTGTAACGTGTTCCCACTGCTACAGCCACCACATGCGTGATTGTAAACAACCAGAGGTAATTGCCTTGGAATGGTAAAAGCAAACTGCAGAATTGCTTGTAAATTTGCTTGGCGGAGGGCAATTTTTAAATCAGCCTCACTTGTATGACATTTATGCCTCAGTGTTTGAATGCTCTGGCTGTTAGAAGCTTGGAAAATTTACATAATTGTTCCAAGTCTTGAGAAATCCAGGGTTTTCTTTTGAGACGACCAGTGTTTAATAATTCCCTTCTCCGTGTGCCCTGAGGCTAATGAGGTTTTGAATCTAGCATCTGTCTATTATAGGCCCCATGTAAGTTAGTCTGTGCTGAAAGCAGTTTCCCCACTGCAGACGTTCACGTTCGTGTGTTCCGTATTTTACATTTCTTTTCTCTCCTGATCTTGACTGGAAGAACATCGAACTCAAGGTGGAAGTAGAGAGTCTGAAGCGGGAGCTCCAGGAGAGAGAGCAGCTGCTCATCAAAGCCTCGTGAGTACCTGTCATCCTGTCACCAGCTTGCAGGATGCCTGGGGTCCCGGTGGTGGAGGCTGGTGGGGCAGTAGAACGCAGCCTTGCGCTTTCTAAGCCAGTTTGCTCCCGCTGGCCCCTGAGGTTGCCAAGGAGGTGTTCGTTTTTATTTATCTTTCACCAGACTTTTGAAGTGTAATATACTTAACGGGGAAAACGATTCCATTTTAAGGGTACAGCATGATAACTTTTCACGAAGCAAACACAACTCATGGGGCTACGATCCAGATCAAAAGCCAGAACATCACCAGCCCCCCAGAAGTCCCCTTTGTGCTCCCAGAACTTAGCCTTCTCCACCAGGATAACCACTGTGCTGACCGCCGATAGCATCGTTGCTTAGTTCTGCCCGCTTCCGAACTTTATAGGAATGGACTCGTACACTCTACACGCACCCTTTTGCGCCTGGCCTCCTTCCTCGGCACTGTATTTGTGCGATCCGGCCCTGTCCTGAATTCTAGCGGTAGCTTGTTCATTTTCATTGCTGTGAAAGCCCTAGGGGCTGGCGGGGTTCCTGAGGGACTCCCGTGGTGAGTGAGTCTGGGCGTGCAGAGGATAGGGCTTTATTCAGAGTAACTCGTTTCTGTATCTGTTCAGTGCACTGGGGTTTCTTGTAATATTTTGTTTCAAAGAGGTGTTCTGCTGAAAACTATTATTTTAGTTAATCACGTAATTAATTTAAATATTTATTGAACAACAAGCCCAGTTTAGAGACTACAGTCTGTGACTTGATTAGGTTATCCATTCATTCATAAACACTTTCTGTGTGATTGTGCCATATACTGAGGATTTGCAGAGACCTCCCCTCATGCTGGCAGCTCAGCAGAGACTGGTGAGTTGTATCGCACACCTGGAGTCTCACGGAGGCACAGTGACAGAGGGCGTTTGGGGGTCCAGTGGGACACCGAAGCGTACAGAGTTTTGCTTGGTGCGTGTGGAATAAGACTTCCCAGGGCTGACCCACCAAGGATGTGGCTGAAAGCTTATGTGGAAACGCTTCATTCGTCACAGGAGCTGAGCTCCTGCTGGATATGGTGGGCCAGGAGCATGGTGTCTTTGGTTTAGGACGTAGCTGCACTGCTCTGGGCCAGGCCATATCATTCCTTTCAGTGCCACATGGCTGGCTGCTGGAAGTTGGGCTGCTGCTGGCTTTGAGGAGACTAGAGGTTCCCGGGCTTCTCTGAGTTATGGCGGCCCTGCACACGTGCTATTTTCTGAACAAGTGAATGAATGAGTGAGTGAACGAGTAAATTAGAGTAGTAAGTTTTTGTTTTGTTTGGGTTGTTGCTCTTTTGTTTTTGTTTTTTTGTTTTTGTTTTTGAAGCCCATCATTTCTCTGGCAGGAGGTCAAATTCACTTTACCAAGTTTGGAAGTCGGTAGTAGAATTTGAATTTGGTTTGTTTTGTCCCTGCCTGCTACAGGTCTTGGCTAGGACTTGTTCACAGGCATTTACCTGCGGGAACCCAAACTCACAAAGGCTGCGTGCTCTCTTCCAGGCCACATAGGGCTGAATGGTTTCAGGGCTCGTGCACCTGTTTGTATGTGTAGGTTCTCCAGGCTGCCCAAACAGACCTTTTTTGGCCTGACCAGTTTTATTAATTTATCCAGAAAATATTTATTAAGCAGCTGTTGTGGGCTACACTGGACTAGGTTCCCGGGGGTGCAGTGGTGATCCAGACAGACACATGGGGCTTATGTTCTAGAAGGGGTGATGGCGATAAAATACTTGGAATAATAAATGTATGAATCCAAAGTGGGAAAAGAGCTGTGAGAAAGATAAGAGGAGCGATGAGTGCTAATGGAGTAGGAGCAGACCTGCAAATAGAGATGTGTGACAACGAAGGGGCCCTGAGGAGGTGGCGCTCAGGTGAGATCCGAGGAGCCCGTAGGAATTAACTGGTGTGCGTGTAGGTCTGAGGAAATATGGGGAGTGTGTGTGGGGGTCTCCCTCTTGTCCTGGAGGGTGTTGAGGCCACAGCAAGATTATCCCAAGTAAATGGAAAACAGTCCTGGGTTTTGAGCAGGGGACACAATGAGAGTTTAGTTTTGTGGAGGTCACTGTGGATGCTGAGTGGGAAGTGATTGTTGCCAGAGCATGAAGGGAGACCAGTTAGGAGGCTAGCCTAGGAGTTTAGGTGAGAGACTAGTGATGGAGATGGAAGGGTGGGTTAGAAAGACGTTTGGTGAGGAAAATCAACAGGGCTTGGTAATGGATAGGAAGGGGGATGTCAGGGATGACTTCTAGGTTAGGGCTTAAGATCATGAGCTCTGTTTTTAAGAATGTTTACAATGACTTAACTGTTCTAGCTTTCTCCCCACCAGCTCTTTATCGCACACACTGCTCACAGATACTAAAAATGTTCTGTTCCTGTTGCTCTAGCTTTGCCCCGCTGACCACTTCTGCCTCCTACCCCCTCCCAGTCCAGATGTCTTCCCTGTTACTTACCTGACCTAGAGGCTCATGGTGAATCCCACATGGCTGCCCGGAGCCTGCATTTCAGTCTCTTCACAGGCCTCTCTGGCATAGAATCACACTCCCATATGTGTGCAGCACTTGACAGTTTGTTTATTTATTTATATCTTTTTTTTGAAGGGGGAGGGGAAGAGCAGAGGGAGAGGGAGAGAGAGAATCTCAAGCAGGCTTCATGCCCAGCACGAAGCCTGACACAGGGCTTAATCTCACAATCCTGAGATCATGACCTGAGCTGAAATCAAGAATCTGACACTGAACCGACTGAGCCACCCAGGGGCCCCAGCACTTTACAGTTTATAAAACACTCTTGCATCCATTTGCATGCTATCATTCTCCTGGGAGCTAGGCAAATCTTGAGGAAAACCTCAGCTTAGAGAGTTGGGAATTTAGGCCTGGAGAAGGGAAGGACCGTGATGAACACCCCGTCAGCAGGGTGGTAGAAGCTGGGATTTGAACACAAGCCCCTAACTTCTGGTCCAGCACTGGTTTCGTATTCTTTTTTTATTTTCATGTGTGTGATTCTTATTTCTCCAACATGACTCTGTGTCTTCAACACCAAGACAAGAGCCTTTTCTCTTTCAGTGGAATATGGGGCTTCTCAGCCATTCCTCCTTTGTGGGGCCTTTGTGCGCTTTGCCCACCGTAGGACAAGCACAGTGTCTACCACGTCCCTGTGAAATGTGCCTTTCCCTTTCCCCTAACTGCCCAGCACCTCCAAGCGTGTGTGTGGTACATTCTTGTGGTGGAAAAATAACCTTTATTAATGCTCTCAACTCCCTTTTACGCTTTTATGGTTGTTGTTTTTATGGTGGGCGGGGGCCGGTGGGAGATATGGGACCTGTCACAGGAAAAGCCCCTGCTTTTTCTCAAGCACTATAATTAGAATGGAAAGAATCAAGAGGAAGTGTTGACAGTTAAAAGGGGTAGCGGGGGGGGGGTGGTATTTATAGAAGGTTCTTTTTTGTATTAGGTGAAATACTGGATTAGACCACTTTGTCCCACCCTTGCCTCGCCTTAGGTCTTGCTCTCTCTCTTGTCTGTTGGCCCAGATTCTATCAGGAGAGACAGGGTAGGGGGTGTGAACTGGCATTTATTGAGATCCTACTTTGCCCCAGACCCTGTGCCAGGCACTTGACATGCTTTATCAATTTTACAACAATGATGTAAGGCAGCTGGTGTTCCCATTTGAGTGCGGAGAAAACTGGGGCTCAGAGGAGTTGGAGGGGGCCTGCCCAGGTTGGTAACAGAGCTGGGATGGGTCTGGCTCTGGAGCCCACTCTGCCTTGCTGTGGAGTAAACATGTATGTGTGCTGGCTTTTCATTGCTATATTTATCAGTTACAATAAGGGGACGTTAAAAACAAAAGCAGACATATTGTCGGGAGTAAATTTTATCTCTGTAGCTTTAAAACACAAACAAAAATAATAATTCCATTAGTAGAGGAAAATTGCACCATACTGCCGAGTATAAATTTTATTGCTACAGTAACTGTAAAATACAAAGATGATAAATGAAAAGTTGGAACATTTATTATTGGGAATATATTTTATTGGTATAACTAAAATGCAAACAAACTGAATAATACCAGTACTTGTTAAAAATTGTAGTCTGCCTCTTGACAACGTATATGATTCTGACTATAAAACACCAAGGTTCGCTCCGGACCAATAGGAAGGAGATGGTGTATTTGCCCTCGCTGGGCAGGGGTTTGGGTGCGGGTTGGGGGAGGTGGGGGTAGAAGGAACCGTTCCCTAGAGGAGGCTCTGTAAAGCCCAAGGGCTAAAACCCTTGCAGTGGTTAGTGGGAATTCAGGACTGGAAACATCCCATATCCAAGGCTCAGGAAGAAAAGCCTCTAGTCTGGAATTATTTCAGCCGTATGTAAGACCTCTTGAGGAGTGATAGAAACGACTGGATCCCTGTGAACTCTGGACGGCGCTGATGGAGAAATGAGCTGAGGGAGTGGGGGCCGAGGACATTTCATGGCGTTAGTCAGGAAGTGGCAGTGGTGGCTTGGTTCTGGCCAGAGGAGGACCTGTTCTCGGCTCAGAGGGGTAGACTGAGGCCTGTCATAGCATCCCAGCAGGGGCGGTGGTGGCCTCAGGGACAGCAGGCGGCGCTCGGATCAGAGAGGAAGGGGCACCTTGCAGTGGCCACCACGGTGTTAGCACATGAGTTCTCAGCGGCTGTCCTGTCTGAAGAGGTGATTCACCCAGAGGCGCACTGAGGACATATAGAGTTTACTTTTGGAAGCAAATCTGTGTTCTTTCAGGGTCCGTGTTCTTTCTTTCAGTTGTTCACATTGAATTCGATTAAAATGATGTCATGACACTGGGGCCTTCTGAAGGCTTATTGATGAAAGGAAGCACGATATGAATAAAGTCTTTATTTGCAGGCAACTCATGTTTGATACTTGGGCAGCAAGTATGGCCCTCTTGACTTTCCATTGTTCTCAGTCAAAAATTCACATGGCCTGTACATGTGAGTGTCTGATCACATGGTTCTTGGTTGGGAAAATTTTATATACCCCTAAAGTAGGGCATGGGAGGCTGGTGGTGAATAAATCTGTTCTGTTGCAGTTTTTTTGAGAAACCAGCTTTAGGTGGAGCCATTTCCTTTATTATTTTGCCTTCTAGAAACCTGCAATCATTTTAGAAATCTGATGAGAACTGCTGTGAGTATATGTCTCACAAATTCATATCTGACACTGTTTTTCTTTTGAGGAGAACCAAAATGAAAGGCGTCCGTGGTTGCGGTCCTGGGTCTGATTTTGGTGTGTAATCCCCACCACTCGTCGTCCACTGGACGGAATATTCTGTGGTGCCACAGCAGTGTGAACTCTGCACTTTACGGAGCAGGGGCTGCTCGCGCAGACTCCTCTCCTCATGCCCTAAGTGGTAGCTGGTGCTCAACAGACAGATCATGCTGTATTTAAAATGCTTTCCCCTCCGGTTGGCAACAGCTGATGTATAAAAGCCCTTGATTCCTCAGATTTATTTTTGTGGCATGCTGCTCCTTTGCACGTTGGTTTGTTAGACCGTCTCTCCCCTTCTCCTGCCACTGGTGGAGGGGTACTTTGTTGGAAGTGTCCTGGTGGGAAATTTGGCAATAGCTTTCAAAAGTCTTAGACGTATGCTCACCCTGTGACTCAGTAATACCCTTTGTAGGAATTGACCCTAGGAAATTACTAGATAATAAACATACAAGGATGCTTTTATTATAGCATTGCTTATTTTTTTTATTATTTTAATCACCATACATTACATCATTAGTTTTTGATGTAGTGTTCATGATTCATTGTTTGTGCATAACACCCAGTGCTCCACGCAGAACGTGCCCTTAATACTCATCACCAGGCTAACCCATCCCCTGACCCCCTCCCCGCTAGAACCCTCAGTTTGTTTTTCAGAGTCCATAGTCTGTCATGGTTCATCTCCCCCTCCGATTTCCCCCCCTTCATTCTTCCCCTCCTGCTATCTTCTTCTTCTTCTTCTTTTTTTTAACATATAATGTATTATTGTGATTCAACAGTCTTGCACAATTCATAGCGCTCACCATAGCACATACCCTCCCCAATGTCTGTCACCCAGCCACCCCATCCCTCCCACCCCCCACCACTCCAGAAACCCTCAGTTTGTTTCCTGAGATTAAGAATTCCTCATATCAGTGAGATCATATGATACTTGTCTTTCTCTGATTGACTTATTTCGCTCAGCATAACACCCTCCCGTTCCATCCACGTTGTTGCAAATGGCAAGATCTCATTCCTTCGATGGCTGCATAATATTCCATTGTGTATATATACCACCTCTTCTTTATCCATTCATCTGTTGATGGACATCTGGGCTCTTTCCACAGTTTGTATAGCATTGCTTATAATACAATAAATAATAACACTGACATTTGAGTACTTGATAATGGGCTTTGTGCTTTAGAAGTATTTCCAGACAAACATGTAAAGTTAGAAATCTAAATTTTTTTCCATCTGAATGTTTTAAAAATAGGGGATTGAGGTATGTCAGCTGCACTTCAGTAAAAAATAGGGGATTGATTTAATATATTACAGTATATTTTACACACGAATTAATATGTAGCCTCTAAAAATGATAGAGATTTATATTTATTGACCCAGAAGGATGTTTATAGTGTATTAAGTGATAAAATCAGATCATAGATACATGATTCTCTTTTTGTAGAGAATGTCTGTAAGCCTGTATGCTAAAATGTTAACTTAGTTCTTCTCACGGGTAAGATTATAGATGATTCTCCTTTCTTAATTTGTGTTTATTTATATGTATTTTAAATTGATGTATACCTGGCATGTAATGTATAAGTTTAAGGTGTATATGTTGATTGATTTGATACATTCATATATTGCATTATCTGTGTTTTTGAATTACAAATACTAATTAAAAAAAAAGAACAGCACAGGTCTATAGAAGTGATGAACAAATATTCCTTGTCTCTCTGGGGCCTTTGAAATTCCTGTCCCACTGTCCCCGCGTGGATTTTACACTTTTGCCCCTTTTTGCAGCAAAGCAGTTGAGAGCCTCGCTGAAGGGGGCGGCTCCGAGGTTCAGCGGGCGAAGGAAGATGCTCAGAAGAAGGTGCAGCAGGTTGAAGATCTCCTGACCAAGAGAATAGTCCATTTAGAAGAGGCAAGTGTGGACACCCTGCGGAGACTGTGTTCTGACAGTGGGTTAAGAGTGGAGGGGGCAGAATTTCGTTCCTTTTACCCTAAACTTTCAGAGTTTCAGCAGAAACGGGAGCCACCCTTATGAGCAGCTTGTGGGTTCCAGCCCTGTCTTAGGCGCTTTGCGTATAGAATCTGTACCCTCACACCCTGAGTCCTGGCCATTGTCTTCGTTCCTGCGGATGAGGACCCTGACGTACAGAAAGACTGACTAGTCTAAGTGTGATCCTGGATTTAAATTTGCACTTGCTGATTTTCAAGCCCCTGCTCTTGCGGCAGTACTGCTCTTCTTACCTAATTCAGGCCCTTGATTTTACAGAGGAGGAAACGGGCCCGGAGAGGGGGAGCGGCTCCCCTAACCCACGCTAAGCCTGCAAGTGATTCCGCTTTGCAGGCCGGCGCGTGCCCACGCGGCCCGGTCCCCAGTACCTGGCCTCCATCCCATGTCACCCCGGTGTTCACTGAATGCCTCTTCTTGGGGAGACACCGCATGGAGCCCCCTCCTTCTGCTCATTCTCAGGCGCTTCCTGTGACCGTGATGGAGGCAGGATGTGTCTTGGCTAAAAAATCCTGTCTCCTAGATGTTAAAAGTTTCCGTCCACGTTAAGCTAGTATTCAGTGACACTAGTTAACTTCATTCTCGGTCTTTGAAGTGTCTTGGCCCATCTCCCATTCTCCACCTGAAAGCCTGGCTCTTCTTAGATACAAGGAGGGATGGCAGCACAAAGCGCTTCTGGGTGCAGAAGGCAGATGCACTCGTGCTATACTTTGCAGCCCAGAGTGGTCTTTTCCATACATGGTGTTTGCACTGGCCCCACGAGGCTGTATAGATTCTAGGTCCCAAATACTGACGAGGACACAGCTCTGAGAGGGAGGGAAACTTCGTCATCAGCGGTAGAGCTGGAACTGAAACAAGAGTCTTCCAGCCCCAAATTCTGAATTTTAGTTAAAATGTCATTGTTGGTTCAGTCATCCTGTGTTCCCCGGGAAGCACCGGGGTGTTTTAGGGTGTCAGCGTGACTGCCAGACCATGCTGGGTTGACCTTCTGCTCTGTCGCTGATTACCCTTGTCCCCTTCTCTGAGCCTCTGCTGCCTCATCTGTAGTGGTTGTCCTAACAGCCGTGGTCCTGGCAGTGTGTGGGGGGCCAGCCCCATGTGAGGCACCCTTCTCACACATCCTTTCAGTTCATCTCTTCAGGAAGCCTGTGAGGTAAATACTTTTATCATTCTTTTTTAAAAACAAAAACAAAAACAAAAACGTGATGACCCAGGCACAGACCGGCCAAGTCCCTTGCTCAGGGTCACACCGGCAGGAACGCCAGGTGCTCTGGCTGTGGAGGCTGCATTCTGAACTGCTGTGGGGTGTCTCTCAGCGCATAACTGTTTAGGGTTAGGTAGGGAACAGAGGGAAGATAAATCAGGCTCCTTGCTCAAAGCCTGGCATTTAGCAGGCACTCAGTAAATAGGTTTTGTTTGTTGTCTCAGAATATCGGGAAATGATTTTTCCCGGCTATCGCTGCGCTTGCCAGGCAAGCCTCACGGGGAGGAGAGGCTTTCTCCCCCACCCAAGTGGGGGCAGTGATGGGGGCGGCACTGTGGGGGGAAGGGGCAGGGAAGAGGAAGCCAGTGTTGCTTTGAGCTTCCTGTGATGCAGCAAGCCTTTGACAGAGCCTCAGAGCAACTCCTTGATGGGATGGTGGTGATCCCCTCTTTTATGGATAAGCTGGGGCCCAGAGAGGCTAAGTGACTACCCAGCGTCCCACAGCAAGTCAGTAGGAGAGCTGGGTTTGATTTGACTTTTATCTTTGTGATGTAGTCAGAGGCCGTGGGCACTTGGAGATCCAGATCTACCCCCAGGTCACTTTCCTGAGCTCCAGGGCCCTTTTCCCCAACGTGGGCCCTGCCTGCATGATTTAGATAATTTCCTTGTTGGCTTCTCTGAGCTCTCAGGAAGAACATAGTTTTTCACCACCGACGTCACCTTGAGATAGAGAAAATGTACTTGCGAATTGTGTAGTCATCATCTTAAAAGAAGTAGGGAGGGGGCGGTTGGGTGTGGGATGAATTTGTATGGAGGTTATGGGGACTCCGGAATTTATGTATGTTTAAGTATTGAGAGGCACATTTCTCCTTGTTCTCATTCAAGCTATAAATATTGATCTGATTTTTCAAACCCAAAAATAGAATTTTTGTAGAGTTGAGTCTTTTCCATTGGAAATGCCTATTACTCTTCAGGATACAAGAGGGAAAAATGGCTGGCAAATGTATTTATTACTGATTCTCCCCATGTATAGTACAATTCAAGGAGGGGAAATGTGCTGTAGAAAAAGTCATAAATATTTATATTTTAATCCAATTTCCTTTCAAAATGTTCCCAATTGTATTGAAAAATTTCATCAAATGCATTTAATTTAACTCTAGGATGTGAAAGCTGCCCAAGCAGAACTGGAAAAGGCCTTTGTGGGGACAGAAACAGAGAAGGCTCTTCGGTTGAGCTTGGAAAACAAGCTTTTGGAGATGAAGAAAAGGCACGAGGGGGACTTGGACATGGCTGTGGTCCTGGAGCAGAAAGACAGGTCTGGCTCTTATCTCTATGATGCGCTGACATTCGTTTCTCGGGCAGCATGGCGGAAGGGTGTTCCCTTCCTACTCTTTCACCCCACCTTTCTCTCCTCCCCCATCGTGAGAATACCTGGAGTAAGATCAGGGTGGAGGGAAAAGGAATAGGGTAAGGATGGGAGGACAGGGATAGAATTATAGATAGAAACTCCTGCCGAAAAGTTCTGTTCAGGTACTAGACGTAGCCTTCAGTTTGGCTGTAAGCTTCCTGGTAACCAAAGGAAAGAGAGAAAAGCAGTCTTGATGAATGTAAGAGTCACACTGTTCACAAGAGAAAATGAGCCAGGAATTCAGGAGAAGCCCAGTTTTACTTGACATTGTTGGGGAGAAATTTCTCTTGTGAATCTTCTCAGAGGGAACAGTATGTGATTATATCCCCACAATATCTATTGAGTTTGTGGGACCTGTTTTTCATCATGTCTTTTTTCCTTTTTAAAGATTTTTATTTGAGAGCGAGAGAGTGAGAGAGAGCACAAGCGGGTGGGGGTTGAGCAGAGGGAGAGGGAGAAGCAGACTCCCCGCTGGGCAGGGAGCCTGACGACGCAGGGCCCAGCCCCAGGAGCCTGGGATCATGACCTGAGCCGAAGGCAGATGCTTAACCGACTGAGCCACCCAGGCGCCCCTTATCATGTCTTTTAATGCAGGCCGAGGGCCCAGATTAGTACAGTGCGAGGGGCCAAAACAGTGTAGACCGAGTACAGAGCTCTCTTGGTCCAAGAATAAAATGTGTGCCATATACTCCAGAGAAATGGATGGGCCATAGGGCCTTTAGGCAGTCTTTAATACTCGTGTCTTACAACCAAACTTTTGATCAAAACTGATCAGCAGAGAGTTGAGGTTTTCTTTATCATGAACCTTACATTTTGATACTCTTGCTTTGCTGGTCACTAGGTGGAAGGTTGTGTAAACTAAATACAAGTGAAACTTCTGACTAACCTCTGACCTATCCACTGAAGAGCCAAGCTCGTTTGGAATTTGATAGAAATTATTCTAAAGCAAATGATCTACTTTCCTATTTCCTTAAAAAGAGGATACTGACTCTGGTTCCTTTTTTTTTGGTTACTCATTTACTCGTGATTGATGTGATGGGCCCACCATGTTGTTTGGGTTCTGGTGCTCAGTTGCCCCAACTCCCCAACTGCTGTTTGCTTTTCTTTCAGCCTTATGAGATTTGAGTCTGCACCTTGTTTTCATGTTTTAGGATTATCTATAAAAGAGGAATGAATAGACTGAGGGAGAGGCCATGGTTTCCACTTATTCAGTGTCCTAGCTTCAGTGTCTGGAGGAGCTAGCATTTATTTTGTGTGCTGCAACCTTTTCTTAGCTTTGATCTGGAAAACCGAAGTTTTGGGATGAATCTAAGGACGAGTCAGGAAACAGAGTTCTCTGTGAGGTGTAGGACCTCAGCGTTGAGTGAATGAGTGTTTTTGTCCATTACGTGGCTAGGAGAGAAGCCTCCCTAGATGGGTGGTTTTTTTTGGCTGGGCCTCCCCCTCAGGGTAGCAGCCTTTTTAGGCACTGTACTGTGAGAGTCTGGAATCCTTTTCCATACAAATTATTTATATGTTCCCTTGTATCTCTCCCAGCTGATGAGCAGTGAAGCCCTTAGAAGGTTTACAGGTTTGTCTTTCCTGGGGGACCTGCAGGTCTCCAGCAGTTAAATTGGAAATAGGGAACCCAGGGAAGAGACCAGAATGTGCAGGGGCAGCCACCAAAGAAGAAAAGACAGAATTCCTGGTGCTGGTGGAGGGGAAGGAGGGAGCGGGCAAGAGGGCTGGGGGTAGGTTTGAGAAGAGGTTGTGGGCGAGAGCAGATTGGAAGGGCCCTGCGAGGGTCCCAGCAGATGCTCGGCAGTTAGTTCACTGGTCTGTTGGAGCATTATGGCCTTTGTTCAACAAATACTTCCTGAGCATCTTCTGCTCAGTAAGTGGTGGTTAGAGTGTAGGTATAAATGGGTATAGACTGGGTCCCTCTCCTAAGGAACCTCATGTCAAGGTGTACACTTGTCATCTAGCTAGGTGGGAGGAGTGGAGGGCAGGAGCAGAGAAGGGCCAGGTGGATACATGCTGGGTTAACATAACATCTTTCTAGTTTTGTTTAGAGGGATTAGGAAAGGCTTCCCAGTGGAAGGATAAAGGAGGAATTACTTGGAGGAAGAAAGGGTGTTCAGGCATTGGGAACCATATGTATGGAAGTTCAGAAGCCTGAGGGCACAGAGCATGACCCGGGGACTTACACAACTGTCGCATGGCTGGAGAGTTGTGTTCTGGAAGGAAGGTGGAAGAGATGAGGAAAGGGAAGCTGGCCAGATCATGTGGGCTTTGTTGAATAGTTGGGGTTTTGTCTTCAGGGCATGTGACAAGCTGCTGATGAGTTAAGGATGGAAATGGGGTGGTGTCAGGGTCAGACTGTAATTTAGAGCAATCCCTTTGGCTGCCCCTAGAGGATGAGTTGGTGGTGGGGCTGGGTGGGAAGACTGCCTCTCAGGCTGATGGAGAAGTCCAGACAAGAGAGCGTGGTGACCAGGATTGAGGTGACGGAACTAGCATGGAGAAGAACAGGCAGAGCTGCTTGGAAGGTAGAATTGACCTGATGGCTTGAGGGGCTTGATCATTGATGAGTTTGGGGATGAGCGAAAAGGCTGCAGAGATACCTCCTCACCCAGGTTTTCAGCGTGAGCAACTGTAGGGTGGTGGTACAGTGTGCTGAGTTTGGGGAACGAAAGGGGCAAAGAACAGATGTTTTTGGGTGGGAGGAGCGGGAAGATAAGCTCTCAGTTGGGACATGTTGGGTTGAGGGATCATGGACTTCGAAGAGTGAGTCTAGAAGGTGCTTGGGTATATGGATTAAAGCTAGATTAAAGGAGCTGTAGATTCATTCGTTGACCAGCTACTGAGCATGGCCTTGGGTTAGGTGCCAGGAATAGAGAGATGAGCACTTTCTTCCTTATATGGCACTCCCAGCGTGGGAGAGGGGACAGATGGGGAAAAAAAAAAAGTGTGATTGGTGTTAGAGGTAAGTTCAGGGTTCTGTGCTGTGACAAAAGCAAGGTGGTGATCAGGCGTGCTTGGGTGTGGGGCAGGGAAGGCCTTGCCACACTGAGGGAAAGCTTGTGCAAAGAAAGGAAAGGTGTGGAGCCTGGTGCATGTGAAGGTAATCATAGAAGAAAGTGGTCTTTGTTAGCATATGCCACAGAAGCTTGGCTTCTCATCTTTTTGGAAGGGGGAATTTGGGAAGGGTTGATGCTTATTGAGTACTTAATGTGGTATAAGTGGTGGGGTCTCCATGTGTGGGTGGTCAGGTTAGGGCGTTGCCAAAGGCTGCATCTTCTTGGGGTTTCCCACAAGCCTGGCTGGATAGGCACAGAAGCCTGATTTGTTAGTCCTGCCCAAGCGGCTGTCTCTCACAGACAAGATGTGCCCCAGCCACACTCCCAGAGGCCAGTGTGGCAGCCAGAGGCCACCTCTGGATATCTGCTCATGTGGGGTGTGGGCCTGTCTGTGGTGGAACTCTCCTGGGACTGGGGTCAGATATTCCCTCCCTCAGGGCAGGCCTGCCCATGAGCTAAATGGAGGTCAGAAGGTGAGCTTCTAAGCGGACTTGGAACAGAGGTGCTTGGGCTTGCCCTGGTGAGATGGATCCAGATGTGCCGTACAGATTGGCCTGTTGTGGGGCAGGGCCCTTACTCGGATGGGCACTGCTGATGTCTTTCTGGGCTTCCTCCACCCTTTTGAAAGGTATGTGCTTTAGCTACTTGATCTCCTACGATCTGACTTTAGAGCTAGTCTGTATCCTTAAGGCTAACACTGTATCCTCAGCTAACACTGAGGAACCCTGCAGGTCAAATATGGCCAACAGGTATGTTTTATTTGGCCTACACAGTGCTTTTAAAAGTTTGAATTAGGGGTGCCCTGGCAGCTCAGTCGGTTAAGCATCTGCCTTCAGCTCAGATCATGATCCCGGGGTCCTGGGATTAAGCCCCGCATTGGGCTCCTTGCTCAGCAGGGAGTCAGCTTCTTCCTCTCCCACTCCCCCTGCTTGTGGTCTCTCTCTTCTCTCTCTCAAATAAATAAATAAAATCTTAAAAAAAAAAAGTTTGAATTAGTTGCTACTATTTAAAAAAAAATCTAGTTTCATGTAAAAGTTTGGTTTTCCAGCCTCTTTTGAAAACCTGGAAGGTGTGGCAAGCCTGGGCCATGGTCTTGCTGGGTCGAGGCCACTGCTGTGGGTGGCCCCATGCTCCAGTTTGGTCCCAGTCCCCACAGGGCCTGCCTCTCTCATTCCCATCCCTACTGGAACTTGCTCTAAGGTAACTAACACAAATCAATTTTATCGAAGTATAAGTTACCTGCAATAGAGCACATCCATTTCAAGTATACAGTTAGTGACTTTTACTTCTTCAGTTGATTCTGTGATGATTTCAGAGTAGAACCCCTAGAGGGCAGTCTTACTCCTCTGTCCAAGATTTGGGGGCATCGCACTGGTGCTGTCCTGGTACCCTCTGTGCCTAATTGTCTTAGCCTGTTTGGGGTGCTATAACAAAATACCAGAGATTGGGTAGCTCACAAACAATAGAACTTTATTTCTTACCGTTCTGGAGGCTGGGAGACCAGGGTGGCCACATGGCCGGGTGAAAGCCCTCTTCCAGCCTGTAGACTTCTCACTGCATCCCTGCGTGGTGGAAGGGGTGAGGCATCTTTCTGGAGCCTCATTTGTCAGGCACTGCTCGCATTCATGAGTTCCACCCACGTGACCTACTCTCCTCCCAAAGCCCCACGTCCTAATCCTGTCACCTGAGGGGGTTAGGATTTCGATATCTGAATTTTGGGGGGCCACGAACATTCAGACCAGAGCACCAGTGCATTGCCTGCTGCCTTTAACTACTTTTAGCTGACTCTGGACCTTCCCCCTGGGAGCCAGGGAAGCTCTCTGACTCTCAGGCCTTTGCTCTTCCTACCATTCAAGTCGTTTTTGAGGCTCAGCTACAGAAAGGCTGTTCGGAGGGTTCTCTGACAAAATGCTAATTGTTGAATGTTAAGGAAAAGTATAATTATAGCAACTGTCATTTGTGGAGTTGTGCTATATGCTTGGAGGTATGTAGGGCTGTTTTAAACATTTTCTCTCTAATCCACATGAGCAAGGTATCCCCATTTCATAGCCGAGGAAATGCAGTTGCATAGAGGTTACATAACTTGGCCATGGTCAGGGAGCATAATTTGGTGGCCTTGAGATGGTGTTCAGCTCTACCCGCGTGGGGCCCTCAGGGTGTGGCTGGCACGGTTTCCTCCAGGGGAGGTCATGCCCAAGTCCCGGGCAGGGTGACGGGAGTGTGTTAGCAGTGGCTGGGGTGGAGTCGCAAAGGGCATTCTGGGTGGGGGGTGAGTGTGAGCAAAGGTCTGGAGGCACAGGGCGGCCTGGCTTGTGGAGAGGGCTGGCAGCGGGGCTCCTGGGAGGTGAGGGAGCGGGTGACGGCTTCCTGTGAGAGGGGAACTGCAGCTGCCAGCAGGGTCTCCGATCTTCTGGGCCCGGAAGGCTAGGGCCTTACCTGCCTTGAGCACGAGTTTGCCCTTTATCTGGAAAGTCAGTGTATTTTAAACGTTGCCCTGAGGAGCCAGAGAGAGAGGTTCTCTGTTTTTGCCCACTCATCAGGACAGGTCTGCTTTATCGGTCGTGTTTGTTCAGGCTCCAGCGCCCGATTTCTTTTGCAGCGGGGATTCTTGGCCAAAAAAAATCAGTAGTCTGCTGCCGTCCGTGGCGAGGGCTGTTGAAAGTCTGAGCCCGGGGGTGGCTCCGTCAGACCATAGTCTAGCAGCTCCGAGGCTGGATCTACCGGGGCCAGGCTGGAGGTGAGGGGACAGTTGATGTCACACGGATTCTGGCCCTTGCTCTCCGACCTGCACGGTGCGATTCCATTTCTGCTCACTTATTGGGCATGTCTCCTTTGACGATGTTTGGCCCCATTTCCTGCCTCCTCTTCCACTGAGCTCAGAGAACAGCTTAGAATTAATATTTAAATTTTGTTCGCTTTTAGACTGATTGAGGAGTTGAAGCTGTCTTTGAAGAGCAAAGAAGCTTTAATTCAGTGCCTTAAAGAGGAGAAATCTCAGATGGCGTGTCCTGTTGAGAGTGTGTCGTCTGGGGAGCTCCAAGCACTCTCTGCGGCTCCAAGGGGAGAACAGGAGAGAGGAGCTGAGGTGAGCCGGCGGGGTGTGGAGGGGGACTTTAATAGCACCCCGGACTCCTCTGTGGCACATGGGGCACACACTCGGTCCCCACGAGTCACACACAGACTGCTTCCAAATATTAGCTCCCTGGCAGCCGAGGAATTAGCAGGAACCTCCTTTGTCGGGGGCCCTGGCATGTCTCCCCCACTTCTGGCCTCATGTTCAGACGGAGTCGGTTAAAAAAACAGTCCGCACCTGCTTGCCTCTGTTCTACTGTGTGTTGATTTGTTGTTGCCGGCGGACTTTATTTTTGCCCTTTGGGTTTTCGTGGGATGAAACTTAGTACCTCTTTTACCTTTGTGGTTGGAGGCCGTGAGGGAAGGGAACTAAGTGGTGCTGGGCCCGGAGGCCGGTGAGGCAGTCCAGCATGCTGCCGCATTGAGTCCTTCCAGCCCCTCTGATCACAGGCCCCTCATGGAATTTAGAAATGGGCTCAGACAAGTTGCTCTCTTTTCCTGGGCTCCAAGAGGTGGGTTGCTAGTACCAGACCCCAGAGCCTCCCAGAGGGCCTGCAAGACGGTGGCCAGGGCCTGGCAGCGCAGGTGGGCCTAGCTGAGACCTCCCAGTTTTTGTTGGACCAGGGGTGGCTGCTGCATGTGCTACATTCACAGTATGGGATGTTCTAGATGCTCAGGGAAAGTCTTGATTTTTTTTATGGAGCAGAGTCTTCTTTGTCCCTGCAGTGGGACAGTGATTTCTGCAGCCTCAGTGGTTAGTTTTTAGCTGTACTCAGCCCACGTCTCCTGCTCCTCCTGTGAACCCCACGGGCCCTGTCCTTCCGTTGGCCCTTTTCATCGTCCAGTGGCTCCGTGGTTCACTCTCTGTGGGGCTGGTGATCAACCCGCGTGACTTGCGTGTCTTTACATTTCTCTTCACTCGGGACATCGGCTGAGACAGACAGGAGTGGACACTTATTTCCGTGACTTCCACAGTGGTGGGGAGAAGTGAGGAAATGAGATGCTCGTTCTAATTGTTCTGGGGAAGTTGTTGGATTGTGAGTCCCTTCCAGGTGCCAATAAATGCCTTTTCTCAGGCCGCACAGATGGAGCGCCAGAAGGAGAGACACCGCTTTGAAGAGAGGATCCAGGTATGTTGATGCAATTTAAGATAATGTATTGAAGATTTCTCCTTGCCTCTTGCTTTATTCCGAGAGCAGTAGATAGTTTGGTGTGACAATAGCTGTCACTTAGGGAATGCCAGTGGGCGCCAGGCAGGCTTTCAGGACTCCAGAGAATGTCTCTCCGGCTTGGTGGTAGTTCTGTGGAGCCGACACTCCCATTGTGCAGATGAGGCTTGTGAGGCTCCGGGAGGCGAGGGCTCTTTCCCAAGATCAGGTAGCTTGGATGAGCTCTAGTGTGGACCCAGACCTGCCACTGCTCTGTGTCCCCGAGTCCCGGCAGGTGGCATTTGTATGGTGCCCGTCAGCTTGGGAAGTGCTTGCCGTCCATTATCTCATTTGATCCTCACAAAGCCCTGGGAGGGAGGCAGCGTGATTATCTTTAGAAATGAACTCAGACTATACATGTATATGTTCAGTCTCCATCAAACCAAATTCTCTGCTAGCTTTTGTAGCATTAAGGAATGAAATTAATGATCTGTTATTTCCCCCAAAAAACCTGGTAGGGTTTCAAAGACTGATGTGACTGTATTCAAATTCCAGAAGGCACTGGAGTGCTTCCACAGGAGTAGCTGTCATCGTCTTAACTGATCTGATCCCCTTCCTCTCACCCAGCCCTGTTGCCGTGAGCGCTAGCGCCGTAACGGGGAGCTGCCGCCGCTGCCTTCAGCTCTGCTGGGAAACATTAATCACACGGTGACAGGAATAAGATAGAATAACTGCGTTTGAGTGTGCTCTTACAGATATATTTACAGTGCATTTTGGTTGGAACGCATCAACTTAGTGAATCTTTTTCTAATCTAATTTAGGCACTTCAGGAGGACCTGAGAGAGAAGGAAAGAGAAATTGCTACAGAAAAGAAAAATAGTTTAAAGAGGGATAAAGCCATTCAGGGTCTAACCATGGCATTAAAGTCAAAGGAAAAAGAGGTATGTGGTGAGTCTGATACACCCGAAGTGAGATTTTTCTTTGTTAGCTTCTGTGGCTGGCCTGTCCTACCCTGAATTTTTAGCTTTAGGTGGAAAGTTTATAAGAGAGCTGGGATGAGTTGGGGGGGGGGAAGGGCCCGCTAGTCCATTAGAAATTCCTTTGCAATGTCCAATCTAGTGCTATCCAAGAAAAATACTGTGTAAGGTACATGTGGATGTTTGAATTTTCGAGTAGCTACATTAAAAGAAATAAGAAGAAACGAGCGAAATGAACTTTAATAGTATATATACCCCAAATGTTATCATTTCAACATGTCATCAGTAAAACAGTAGTAGTAATGAGGTGTGTAGCGTCTTTTTCATCCTAGTGTCATCTCTGAAGCGCAAGTGTGCTTACAGCACATCTCATTTCAGACGAACCACACTTCAAGTGCCCAATAGCCACAGGTGGCCAGTGGCTGCCATATTGGACAATGCCCAGTCTTGTAAAGACAACAGGATTGAGATGAAGGACGTTTGGGAGGCAAGGCCACGCCTGTGAACCAGTTAGCTACCTGGGTCGTTGCCTTTGGGATCCAAGGCTGTGGCCAATGGTTCCGTGCTATTTTATTATTGTTAGCATGGCAGTCTATTGTTTTCCCATTAACTGAGCGAGGCACGGATACAGAAAAGAAAACCCAGCCCTGCTCGCAAGTGAGGAAGAAAGACAGAGTGAAGGTGTGGTGATTGAGGGACGTTCGGGGGGCTGTGCAAGCGCAGGGCAGGGGACCTGAACCAGATTAGGGTATGTACGTGGGGAGCAGAACTTGGAGGAGAAGGTGTCCGAGCTGAATCTTGAAGGATGAATAGGAGTTGGTTGGGAGGGGAGGCAGAGGGGAGAACAGTGGTTAATCCATTAAGTTAGGAAAGAGCCTAAAAGGTGTCTGTGGAACCAAAAGCATTTTGAGGTTGTCTGGGCATCAAGTGCAGAACCTAAGGGAGGCTAGAGAAGAAGCTGGTGGGGTTGCATGGGGCCAGCCAGTGATGGTGGAATTAGTCACTTTTGGCTGTTCGGGAGGCATGCCACTGAAGGCTCTTCAGCAGGAGGGGTATGATCACATTTGCATTTTAGTGAGGTCTCTGGCTGTATCTGGAGAGTGGCTTGTAGGAGGGAGAGAATGGGGGTAGGGAGGCCAGTAGCGGAGGTGAGAGCCAAGGAGGATTGAGTTAGAGCAGTGGTCACTGCTAAATGCGAATGGAGGGGCAGGGCCTACTCAGGAAATGAAACTAGACATAGCCAGAAGTAATTAAAAATTAGAAGTAAATTTGGGGAAATTTGTTGAGGGGACATAGGACTGAGAGAACGAACAGTGGAGGATGACTTCTGGGGGGTCTGACTGGAGTGACTGGGGTATGGTGGTGCCACCGACTCAGTTGACAGCATAAGAGAGTGGAGTACGATGGCCAGATGGGTGTGGTGATGGAGGCGATGAATCTGTTTACAAAGTGTTGACTGTGAGGAGCTCGTGGACCGCCAAGGTGGGATGTCCAGGGGGAGGTGGGTATGTCAGCCTCAAGCCTGGAGAGAGCTCAGGTGTGAGTTACAATTCTAAGAGTGGGGCTACCTGTCTCGGGAGTGCATAGAAGGGAAAGAACAGGACTGAGGTTGGCGCCACAGGGGACATCAGAATTTCAGGGACGGGGAGAGGAAGGCATGAAGGGGACAGGAATGGTTGCACAGCACGAAGTGAACCAGGAAACGGTGGCGCTGAAGAAGCTGAAGAGGGGAGAGTTTGAGTAATCACCAGTGTCAGATGCGGCAGAGATTTGGCTCATAGTAATAGTAGTTACAATTTCTACCATTGTAAAATGCGGGAGTTCAGGGCCCAGCTGAAGTTGGAGACCTTCAATGTAGAGTGGCGCCGGTGGAGGGGCCATTGTGGGTGCTGGCCAAGTCCAGTGTGTGGCCCTGGGCGTCACTGCTGACTGGGGTACAGGAGAAGTTCACCAGAGATGAGAGATTCTGAGTGTAGCCAGGCCCCTCTCTATGGGCAGCAATAATGTAACGCTTTGTCTCAGCCAGGCCTGATTTTAGCACTGGTACCCATCACTTCACTTAGCCCTAGCGTTGCTAGCGTTGGGTGAATAGTGGTCTCCTCGTGTTCTGGTTGCGGGAATTGGGACTCAAAGAGATTAAGTACCTTGCCTGAAGTCACTCAGCTAGTGAATGGCCAGGGTAGGAGTCCCACTTCTCTGACTTCACACCTTCCCCGACTACGAAGCCCTTGGTCAGAAGGCTGCACCATCCAGCAGGAAGAGCACTTGAGTGTGCACCGGGAGGGGAGACCCGTTGCACACTTGGCTGCTGTTCTTACTTTGACCCAGGTGGAAGACCTTAACTCTGAGATCGAAGAGCTCAGTGCTGCCTTTGCAGAAGTCACAGAGGCCCCTGCGAAAGCACAGACACAGAAATTCCAGGTAAGCGTTTGCTTTGCTTGAAGTGGCCATGCCCTCGGTCCTGACTCCTGGGGAGGGCAAGGCCTGGCAGCTGAGAGGAACCCGGTGCTGATATAACAGCTGGGATTTATTGAACACATACTGTGTGCCAAGCGCTGTGCTCATTGCTGTCTGGGTTAGCTCGG